TCTACAGGGGGTTAGTGGGGTTAGGGAGGGTTTGGCAGGATTGAGGAACTAGCAGGGACCATGGGGGCCTTTGGAGGATGAGGGAGCTCTTCCCCCCCACTTCCCAGGGACCAAGAGCTATTTTTAGCTGCTGACTCCCCACCCCAAGATGAACAACACCCCCCCCAGTGAACCAACCCCCCCATCCCAAACACCTCTCCCCCCATCCTGACTTCAATTAGTTCCTGGCACCAGTGAATGCTGGTAAAACTGGGTCTGGGTATGGCTTGTGGGTTGGGGAGTTGGTGAGTCCAGGGAGGGGCTGGTTGGTCCCAGGGGGGTGTTGTTCATGTGGTGGAGAGGCCACAGGAGGCTAAAAATAGCCCAGGGGCAGGGGGTAAGGCAAACGCAGCTCTGGGGTTGAGGCCAGCAACTGGGGTTGTGCTGTACAATTCACATTTAGATTGACTTAACTAGGGATTTAAATGTAAGGTTCTCCCCTGGGGACCTAAGTTAGGTTGGGTGACCATTTTTAACATGATCTAACCTCCCTAAATGCCTGTATGTACCCTTTGGACATGTCCAGATGAGTGCACATGTGCCTCTTGCAGCATCCCAAACCAGTTTGAGACACTGCAAGAAGCACTCTGGGAACAGAAAAACATTTCCCTGTGTTGCATTTTTGCAGTGCGGGGTCAACATTTGATACCTGGAGATCTAGGTATCAAAAAATACCCCGGGGGTACAAAGCAGGGCAGGAAACTGGAGGCTCAGGTCCTCAGAGATGCACAGAGATGCTCTGGTAGCCAGCCAAAGTGGCTGGCCCTTGCCCCAGTACTGAAGTGTGCAGAGCAAGCAGCGCTGCAGGCTGCAGGGACCTGGAACTGGGCTCTGTGCCAGGTAAGTAGCAGGTAGGGGTGACTGGAGGAGTGGGGAACCATGGTGGGGGAAGCTTGGGAGGGGTGGGTCTCATGTCACAGTTGTGATTATATTAGTTATTGCCTTTTATCTTGGCAGAAAGGCCAAAGACCAAAGGGAATGAAGAACAATTTATCTTGTGCCGTTTAAAGAGTTTTTCCAAAGCAAACTTGTGGTATATCAGGTGTTGATAGCTGGTCCCCACCCTGATCCCTGCTCAAGTTTGGGGAGAGGGCAGCTCCAGCCAGGGTTTTCTACCTCTCTACCCACTCAAGTGGTAGAGGGTGGGGGTGCAGCCAGATGCTGGCCCTGGGCTGGGCCCCTGAGGCAAAGTGGGGGAGGGAGGAGGTTTAATCCCCCCTCCCTCCCCTCTCTCACCAGCATGGGACCCCAGCTGGGGTCTACCTGGCAGGGGTGCAGCAGCCCCTTTCAGGCTCCCCAATCTGGCTTGCCACTCAAGTGGCTGGGGGTGTGGCCAGACGCTGGCCCCAAACCAGCCCCTTGAGGCAAACAGGGGAAGAGGGGGTTTAATCCCCACTCCTTCCTATCTCCCACTAGCACGGGACTCTAGCCTGTGCCAGTGGGAGAGGGGAAGGAGGGGGGGATTAAATCCCCCTCCCTCCCCCTCTTTACCTCAGGGGGCTGGCCCGGGCAATGCCCCCCACTGCTCAAGTAGTGAAGGGGGGGGAGGAGGGGAAGTTTGACAGGGGCTGCTGCACTTGTGCCAGTAAGAAAGGGGAGGGAAGGGGAATTAAACCCCCCTCCTTTCCCCGCTTTACCTCAGTGTGCCAGTCAGGGGCCAGGGTCTGGCTATGCCCCACTTCGCTTGAGTGGTGAGCAGTGGAAAAACCTAGCAAGGTCTGTTTTCCCCCTTCTCCCTCCAAGTATACCACAGCTAGGGACCCTGAAGGTTGTGTGGGGTGGGGGGGGGAGGTTTAAACCCCTCCCTAATCATACTCAGCACCCTGCTGGGACCTGGCCACCCCCCCTTAGTTCAGCTTTCCTCCAGCCACTGCCAAAGGAAATGGGGGCTTGTTGTAGTGCCCCCCAGCTTCTAGTCTGAGCCACCGCAGGCCTGTGACTGCATTTCCAGAATAAAAAATGATATCTATTCGCTTGCTTCTCAGTTCAATCTACTCAGGTTAGACTAACCTGCAAAGATCAAATCAATTCAGGCCCGTTTTTTTTGAATGTCTGTAGTTAGCAGAAGACCACCCTGCCGAATGTAGCATCTCCAAAATGGTGTGATGTTTTGTAAAGCTATGAGCTGAGCCTCAGGTAGCCACTCTGAAATGTTTCTATAACTGCAGTAATGCCAACTGTTGTGAAACCATTGTGAAATTCAGGATTTCTAAGTCAAAATAAGTCTGACTTGCAGTCTCCTGATTGAACCCTCAGATCTCCGGATTTTCCCAGCTGGTAAGTTTGTGGAGGGGAAGGGGTGAAGGGAAAGGACAGGGCGGGGTGTGGAGATCAAGGGCCCCAGCAGTCAGGGAGGGAGTGGGGCAGGGGCCGGGGTGAATGGGGCCCCAGGGCCAGGGCAGGTCATCTAGACATGCAGGGGAGGGCTGCAGCTCCCTCCAGCAGTGTGTACCCCCGGGGAGGCATGGAGGCACATGCCTCCC